AAATAAATTGGACATTTAGAAGAGAGAGTTGAAGACAGCTGTATTGTAAATGAACTTCATTTGGACATTGATCTAGGAAAATTGTTTTTAACATAATTCAGAGTAAGACAAAGAGTGCATTGGAGTATTTCGATTCAGGAAGTCCACAGAATGTACTTGGGAAACAGCAGAAGCTGGCAGCCAAATCCAAACACATACGTCAAATGAGATGGCACCCAACTTTAATAAGATGGTGTATTGCACTTCATTCCAAATCACCAGCAGCTTACAAGATGATTAAAGACAGTATGTTTTGGTGTTTCCCAATGAATGCACTTTGAGGGATTATACTCAATTCATAACTTCATTATGTAGCAGCAATTCATAACTTCTTCTTAGCATTATGAAAGAACATATGAATGAAGTACCAGACTACAAAAAGAAATGTTTCTCTCTTGTTTGATGAAGTGAAAACCAAATCTGGTCTTGTTTGTTGTTAAGAAACAGGTAAACTTATTAATTTCTGTGATATTGGGTCTGTAGGGTATGATCGTGTTGCATTTGGAAGACAGTGTAATGAAAAAGAAGAAAAACTTGAACATTTTACCAGTGAAATTTCACTTTAACATTGGCCATGGTCCTTTCTGCACCTTGATGACCCGCAGCGGGTAAATAATGACAAAACTGCAAAACTGTCTCTCGTAATGTAATCGGAACTTCCAAACGTTGATGTTGACCCTCATTCTTGGGATTATTTCTGAGATGTCCTTGCTCACCCCCCCCCCCCCCCCCCCCCAAACAAAAAAACAAAACAAAAACACAATAACAAAAACAAAAACAAAACATTTTTTGGTTAACTTTTCATCGCTGGTGAAGCCAGAAAGAGTTGGTTACTAGTTGTTCCCGTCGTGTTGCTCATGTAAGTACAACCTGGTTATAAGTCTAATTCGGTAGGTCACATTCAGGGAAAAGTGGACGGGATTGTAGTTACGACAATTGATACATATATATGTCGTCATATGTGAAACAGATATTCCGTGACGGTCAATCGAATCGTAAAATTTACAAAGGAATGATTTCAACTTCACGACTTGAAACTCTTGGTTTAATAGCTTTTGTGAGCAGCAACCCTCTATTAAGGAAATCATGGTAGGAAATACAAGCTCTGGAATATCAACTTGGATTTATATAATCCATATGCAGGCGCATAAATGAGGATGACGAAATAATGTCCAGTGGCTAATACTACAATCATATGAGGACGATAACATGTAAATGTGAACGCTTCTTTTGGTCCTTTGAAAAGTCACAAAACAAAAAATAACTGTTTTCTCTTTTCGTCCAGTGAATTAATTAGACAGTTATAAATTTCGAACATCTGATGATCAGTTGAGGTTTTGGGTAAACATCTAGATTGGTATTAAAACAAATAATTTTTTGTCTTTGTAAATGGTTGTCCACATGTTTATATACCCCTCGTTCCATGACCTTTCAAGAACAGTTCAATTCATATCAAACGAGTTTCTGATGATTGAAATGTTTAGAACCAATGCATGCATTTATATACTATACTAATTCCTCTGTGCACGTTTTTATTTACATTTATTACGATCCACAGTGTATTATCGACAAATATATCATGTTGTAATTGTTGATTGAAAACATGACTGCTTATAACCTTTCGGGTTTGGTGCCGAAGATTGTCGATCGTGCTCTTGATAAAGAATTAACGCAGAATCATGGATCACGTGCTAAATAAGTGAGATGATAGACCTATGTTTATCTTATTTTATTTTTTTTTATATTCCATGCGTTTCAATTAATTAATCAAACTTTGACATAGTAGTTGTTAATCAATTTGGTGTATCGAAATTTTTCTTTCAGAATCGGTTAATACTTTCTTTGTTCGTTTTACTCTAGATAATTTCTTTGCATCATGGTTTTCCTCTTTGCACTTTCTCATATTGCCCTTATATATAATGTCATCTTAAAAGAAAGGCGGAAGATACAAAAGAGATATTCAAACTCATCATCATAGACAAACTGACCCATCCATGGAGAAAAACTTAAAAGGAAACCACAGTCTACAAAACACAACACAGAAAACTAAAGACTGAGCTACACGAACTCCACCAAAACCCGAGGTGATCGCATGTGCTCTGGATGAGTAGGCTGATTCGGCTGTATATGTGACGACCCTCTTGTTGTTCATATTAGTACTAATTCGGTGATAAGTTTCATTTGAAGATATCACATGCGAAGAAAAGAGGAAGGGATCATTGTGGTTACGACAATTTGAATTGACTTTGATCTTTTATTACCATATTTGGAGTGGAGGAATGGAGGAATATATTACATGACCCTATTATTTGATTTTAAAGCATGCATTTTCCTAATCATCCAATAAGTCTTTGAATTTGAATATTGTAAATAATGTTAATTAAGATTTTCTTCAAAATTTTCTTTCGCAATCTTTATTTAAATTATTGACCTTGCTTATCTTTTCATATCTGATTCCTTTTTCGGTATTTTAAAAAGCTTTTGCTCTTTATCTGTTGTGTTTATGGATAAATTTTTCACTTCATTCGTAAACCAATGTTTATGACTATTGACGTACAGTAACAATATGTGTAGTCATGCACTACTTTGCCATCTGGAGAAGTAAGGTGAATGTATTCAGTCAACTGAATCTATCATTTTCGAAAATTTCTGTATCGGTTCTGATGTATGTGAAGTTAGCAGCCGGTTCGTTATTCGATATTCACGACCGCCAGCAGCCGGTTAGATATTCAAAATGTCACAGCAAAATGAAGATACGGAAAATTTATTAACGTGTAAAAAAATATCTAACCATGGAAAACTATAATAGACATTTTTTAAAACTCTTTAATATTCAAAATGTATTGCAAAAGACTATGTTCTTCTCATATATGTTATGATGGTATGATACTAAACCCCTAACGGGAAGGATTGTGCCTGATGTTCATATGATGAAGACATGATCTTTCAATCAGTTTAATTGAAGTCTGGAGCTGGCATGTCAGTTAACTGCTAGTAGTCTGTTGTTATTTATGTATTATTGTCATTTTGTTATTTTCTTTGGTTACATCTTCTGACATCAGACTCGGACTTCTCTTGAACTGAATTTTAATGTGCGTATTGTTGTGCGTTTACTTTTCTACATTTGCTAGAGGTATAGGGGGAGGGTTGAGATCTCATAAACATGTTTAACCCCGCCGCATTTTTGCGCCTGTCCCAAGTCAGGAGCCTCTAGCCTTTGTCAGTCTTGTATTATTTTTAATTTTAGTTTCTTGTGTACAATTTGGAGTTTAGTATGGCGTTCATTATCACTGAACTAGTATATATATTTCTTTAGGGGCCAGCTGAAGGACGCCTCCGGGTGCGGGAATTTCTCGCTGCATTGAAGACCTGTTGGTGACCTTCTGCTGTTGTCTGTTCTATGGTCGGGTTGTTGTCTCTTTGACATATTCCCCATTTCCATTCTCAATTTTATTTTACCACTGATACCTACTAAATTTTTCAATTCTGTAAAATTTGGGTTAAATTTAGGCTAGATATACGGTTGCCTATAATTGCTTACATCCACTTCATTTGAACTTTAGTGAATAGTTGTACTATTGACAATCATACCACATCTCCTTATTTTTATATAGATATAAGTACTATCAAAGGATATCCCTGTAAAATTTAAGATATATACGGGGGACTTAAAGTGTCACGTTAGTATAAAAAAATCAACGAAAATCAACGGAAAAGGACCGGTTGTGTTAGATTGACATACCCGATCTTTCAATCGTCATAGAAGTTAGTTATTATGTAAATACAGATTCTGTTAAGAGAAATTTTATAGGATCTGTAACTATATACCTAATCTAAGTTATTACCAAGTTTTATTGACATACAAGACAGGGGGTCAGATGGTCATTCTAGCGATATTCAGTAGTCTTTTGTTATATATCTTGAATAACAAAATGGCATTTTGAGCCTCTCCAAAAACTTTGACGACAATAAGTTTCCACTAACCTCTCTAACTGTCATTTGTATCTTTATTGACGTAATGTTATGACGCCCTGGTCCCTTTTACCAATCGAAGAATGTTTTTAGGCTGACAATGTTAATTTTTTTTCTTATTTTTTAATGTTACTAGCATTGACTGTCCGTTTTTTTTTTTTTTTTTTGGTATATTGAAGTACAACACTGAATGCATTTATTGACATCAATCTATATATCATAAAGAGGCAATTGTGATTAATATAAGGCTTTGTATTAGATTTTTACGGGATTTATTGATGTGTTAGCTGCCTTTCACTCAAAAACTTTTCCATTCAGACTATATTCAGTTCGCGAGTGAAATATAAATAAACTCCTTCAAAGTAACCTGCATTATCATATCAAAGGGAAACGAAGTAAAAATATGTATTCAGCCAAACCATTCTGTTGTTCTATTCATTCAATTAAAATGGCTAACTTGTGATATTACATTGACTTGGTTGTTATCTTTATGGCATTGCCTTGAATATTTTAAGGTAATGACGTATTTACATGTTGATTGAATATTATCACCCTTCGTAGATTTAATAGGCAATTTTATATTTTAAAGATAATATGAATATATTTTTAACTTGCATTCAAGCAAAAAAACAAAAGTTCTTATTACTCACCAACTGCTTTTATACCAGTTTTCTGTTAGAATTGTTTGTTAAAGGCTTAAAATAAATGCATATCGCTTATGAAAAGAAAATGTTATGTTTTCTTCAATGAGACAGCTACAAACGATACATAATAACAAACAAAACAGAAGACATATACAGGTCAATACACGGTACTCAACAATTAACATGGGTGTCTATACAATACATGTATATTAAGGTTTTTGTCGGCTCCAGTCTTCTATCCACTTCAAGTAAACAAGAAAACAAAGTTCGAAATTGGTTGGCCTATGTTAGAGAAGAATGACACATAACTTGACAAGGATGTCAAGTAGAAATAAGTATTCGTGTTAATATCAATGTCAATTGTTTCTCTGAAATTACAGGATTTCTTTTCGCCGAAATATGAAACGACCCGAATGTTAAAAGATAAACACGACAACAGAAAGGTGTAATCTAATTAATAAATAGATTGGAGGACATTGCAATAAAGGCGTTGGAAAAAATACAAACAAAAAGAGTAAGTAGGAACAGTATTTTTTTTAACTTTTCACTTATATTCTGTATATTATAAAGAAAAACTACTTGTAAACAGTGCTTCTTCACAGTAAACAATTAAATGAAAACAGGTACAAATTATAAACAATATGATAATTTTAAATACCTACTTAAATATTTTGTTTTATACCCTGAAGTAGAGGTCGGTCAATTTAAAACGTATCCAAAGCATCCTATACGTTGCCGTATACGACGTATACGCATCTGGAGGAATATGCTTGAATAATTACTTCGATCGCGAGTTTTACTCGATGTACTTTTTTAAAACAATGACGGGGATCAAACTTTGTGGCCACAACTAATCAATTTAAATCTGCTTATTTCTGAATACCTCACTAAAATTTCGGACCATAGTGGTTAATTGGTTTGTTTCAATGTCATATGTTGTACGTATGAGTGGTGAATCGTGATTGTAAAGGTTGTTTAGGGCTTTTTGTAATCAATAAACGCTTGGACAATATGGATAAACTAGTGAGTAATCTAGGTTTTAAATTTTATAACGAAAGCCTGTGTAATACAGTCTTAGCTTGATTTGCCACAAAATCCATATTTTCATTACATGCAGTTAGACAATGAATATAATCTTGGTATATGCTCAAAATGGCACGTCTCTTTTAATCAGTATTTTTTCTGTTTTTATATAATGCACTTACAATGTACCTGGATTTTGATGTGCATTTTTTTTAAAGATAGCAAAATAAACAAACACTTGAGTTTCATTTGATACGGTCCACTCAATTACAAAGTTTAAATCACCTATTGTTTGCAGATGTCTATTGGCCAATTAAATCAATACAACTCACAATATTAATTATATGAGGAGGCCTTCTCAAACCTCATTCCCAACTTTGTTTATGTTGGCACCTTCTGCAGGAATAGAAAAACATGAATAGCAAAAGCCAGTTAAGATTTTAATATTCTGAAACTTAAATCCAGCTATGCTTTTAAACTTTTCCAGATGAACAGGTTTGTCTGTACCCAGAGTGAAATTTGTGTTGTAAATACGGCCATATTTGCAAAAAGGTTATGATTAACCTTAAAACTTGGTATAATATATTGGCTTTTTGAAAGTATATCTCCAGATAAGGAGACCTCTAAAATTGATCGACCTCTATGGTTCGAAATTTAAATGAGGCATTCAAAAATAAACAGATGCAAATTAATCAGTTATGGCCATAAAGATAGATTCCCGTTATTCTTTTCAAATAGTATATCGGGTAATACTCGCGATCGTGGTAATTATTCTAGCATATTCTCCAGATGCGTATACGTCAACGTATCGGATACTTTTGATTACGCGTACATTGCTTCACACTGGTAAACTAGAAGTAATACTATCATAATCATTTTCTTTCAACAAATAATTCTTCCTTAGATATTCATAATAAAATTCGCGATTTAAATATCTAGTTTAAAGAACACCTAATCCACACAAGGCCTACGTTGACTATCCCTCTAAATCTGCATATAAAAACTACAGGTAAACATCGATTTTAATCAATGAGAACATAGTCGAGTTTCGTTTACGTGTTGAGGACACCAACATTTCAATGGGAATACTAACTTTATTACCGATATAAATGGGTAAAGTATTTTTTTCTGTTTTAATTGAACATTCTCTTATTACAGTGATTATGGTTCATCATAACAAATGGACAACATTTTTTGTTTCAGAAAGATATAATCACTTTTGGATTTTGAAGGGCATTTTTTTTCCTTTCTGCAGAAGGTGTAAAAATAAACAAACACCTGAAATGCTTTGATACTGTCCACTCAGTTTAACCCTTTAACTCATCTATAGTTGTGTAGATACCTATTGTCTATCTATTGTCCATGTCAACCAAGGACAATCAATACAATACAATACAGATTTTACCTGAGAGGGAGCATCTCAAAGTTTTATCCCAACTTAGTTTATTTTTACACCTTCTGCAGAAATGGAAAAAAATGGCCATCAAAATCCAAAAAAGATTTTATCTTTCTGAAACACAAAATGCATTTAACTTTTATATATCTAGTGGATGCCAGGCATTAAAACTTTTCCAACTGGATAGGTAAGTCTGTACTCAGAGTAGTTTTTGAGGTAGAAATACCGCCAATTTTGTCCATTTGTTATGATGAACTTTAAGATAATTAATGTGTCACTCCAAAGACAAAAACCAAAATGTCAGTACGAGTCTTCTTTTCCTTATGTTTTTCCGAATTAAATGTTGATAAAAGTTCTTTGAAAATCGCTATGAACGTAAGGAGCATTGGGATAAGCACGTAAGGCTTTCACAAAATGTTGCTGTGTCTGGAATAGTTTGGTTAAAAAGGCATTTCTTTATCTATTTATTTGGATTTTACCTCTGGATTTATGCATTCGGTGTCATATTAATTCCCAAATGTTCTAAAATCTGGAAGTTTTGAACTTTATATGTGACACTTTGGACTTATAACATTATATGATAAGGAAATTTAGTATGATAATCAACGAGTCAACAATCCACCAAAGTCCAAATGACGTGGATCTAAGTAAGTATATGTGAACGTACGGCTTTCAAACATGAGCAATACCGTTTCCGTAAAGTCAGCTATTAAAGTCCCCGATATGACAAAATGAGTAACAATTCAAACAAACATACACACTATTAATGACAAAACAATAAATAAAAACCAAATATGACAGACAGCAACCAACGACAATTAAATACTGAATTACTGACTTCTGACTTGGGACTGGCACATATAATATATAGCGAGGCCATACATGTCTGTGAGCCCACAACCCTATCCTAACACACAGGATGTACAGTGGTGTAATAACACGATATACGAACAAATTCAAACAAATATTTGGAAATTGGTTGACTCGTCAGATTTGTACGTAGCCCAGAAACCAACTAATATACAAACAAAAGACACAATTAGCCAACTAAGAATACTCACAGTTGTTGAAAGCTAGTTAAATACAATTTATACTTAACAAATAAATCATGCTATCCCAGACATAAGTATCAATCAGTAGACATCCAACTTATTTAGTGTAAAGACGTCGTAAATAGATCGAGAAAGGCATGACCCCGTACAATGATACAATTTAGGTACATAATATCGATAGCATATAGGAAGGACCATACGTTTTCATAACTCATATTTATTTATGGTTTAATTATCAAACACGTAATAAATGTAAGAACTGATAAAACATTTTATGATGACTTCAACTTTACCACTTTAAACCACTTACTTGGAACTCTTTGTTCAATAGCCTCGTTGTAAGCAGCAACCCTCTATCAAGGAAATCTATGTCAAGATCTTGAAAATCGTTTCAACTGGAAGATATTTACTCCATATGCAAGTGATACTGAAATGCTTGCTATATAGAAATTAAAGGTTTGCAATTTGGAACCTATACTTATCCCTTTGTCGTTAAGTTTGTTTTTAATTAACCCTCATTGTCAATTGTTAGTTATAAGTCAAGACATAAAGCAGACTTATTTGTATCTTGGGTATTCTTTATTTCAACTTCGATGAGATAATTGTGTTTAACATAATCATCAAACTGGGAACTATTTAGTGAGAGAAAATCATGTATATAACGGAACGTGAAGTTAATGGATATTACTACCTTCTTTTCTAAAACGACCCTGTGCAAAGTTTTCCGCATGTGAATAAAGGAACAACAATTCATCAAAGATACTAAGCTAATATAAATTTGGTATGCCAGACTCGCGTTTCGTCTTTATAAGACTCACAAGTGACGTTAGAATTAAAGCAGTTGGAAGGCAAAATCAAACACAAATTGAAGTAAAAGAAAAAAATACTGTTAGTTTAGTGTGACGTCCATTTTCATTGAACTAGTACACATTTAGTTTAGGGGCCAGCTGAAGCCCGCCTTTGGGTGCGGGATTTTCTCGCTGTGTTTAAGACCCATTGGTGGCCTTTGGCTGTTTTCTGCTTTTTGGTAGGGTTATTGTCTCTGACACATTTCCCATTTCCATTCTCAATTTTATTGTCTTTAACAATAAAAAAGTGTCAAATTTTAAAACGACACAAGTCGATGAAAGTTGTGATTTATAGAAAATTTCAAAGATCTGTCGTTATCACAACGTTCACCAAATAACAAAATATCAGTAAGATTTAACGCAAAACCATACACGACTTTCCTGAATATGTAACTCTGTATACAAATTGGAAATCGAAAAGATGGAAGATAACTTGAGTGAAGACACAGACTCTTTTATTTGTTTTACTCATACTCTTGTCCTCTTTTCTTTACTTGTGTCTAGTCACCAAATTTTACACGTTATGTTTAGCAAAGATTAATGCCACCCTTCAGCAGGTACAGGTAACCCTTCCCCGACATCTTAGCTGCGGTTTTATTGAGACTTGTAAGTTTTTATTTTACTGAATAATATTATGAAGACAATTTTAAAACTTTTTGTTGTTTTGATTTGGTCATGGTGCTGTTTTGTTTTTTTTTCAGAATTGATTACATTCCTTTGTATCTTCTTATTTCTGTTTTTAATATTGTAGGTCAAAAATGAAGATTGGAATAATCTTTTTGGACCTTTTTATTTTCAAACAGCATTTTTTAAATGTTCTATCTGAGGTGTCCGAAGATTTTCGGAATTGTAGACATAGCTTTTATCAAGATACTCCGCCATATTTCAATGGTTTCACGAATTCAGTACAAATTTGTCAAAGACATAGAACATCATCGAATCGTTTTTTTGCAATAAATTACAATAGCGTCCAGAGAATACCTCATTACAGTGCTTATTTGATTGATTCATTTGATACAGGTGGTAGCCGTGCCAATTTCTGGTTTCTTGAACCACAGCTGGCAGACCGAACATTTCCTCAGGAAATAGTAATAGATAATAACCAACCCAGGTATAGGAATAGCCAAGCATTGGATGCAGACTATAAAGGCTGTGGATATGATAGGGGACATTTAAATCCATCCTTTTATCACAGTGAAACTAAAGTGGCAAGGCTGGTTACAAATAGTTTGACTAATGTTGCACCGCAGGTTGCAGATTTTAATCAAGGGATATGGAATAAGTTAGAAAAGTCTCTTTACAATGCTATGAATGAAAGCTGTAATTTTGCTGGAGCCAAACGATATTTTATTACCGGCGTTATCCCTAGTAGTAGAACGAAAATATCTAATGACAGGGTCAATGTTCCAGATTATTTCTGGACAGCGATGTGCTGCGATTCCTCTCGTGCAAATGATGCTACAGAAAGGATGATGGGTTGGTCAGCTGCATTTCTTGGTGGAAATATAATAAATTCATCAATTTACGTTTACACAATCGAAGACTTTCTCAATTTTCTGGCTAGACATACATCTTCTAGACGTCCTCAACTGTTCGCCGATTATGCTAATGCAAATACCCATATCCGTAACTGTTTGTTCAACCAAACCCAAGCTGCGACTATGGTAAATGGCATCATACAAGATAACGCAAGGTTTTACAAGCAATCTCTTTTTAATAGAATTTGCAATTCAGTGTATTGCGCCGTGTTAGATCGTCTTGGTTAATACTGATATATTGTTTTGCATTCCTCCGATAATGACATTACCTGTCAATCTAAAAGTTGTATGTTATTGGTAATGTGCAATTTATATGCACACCTATTTTTATATGTATGCACACTAAATAAAATGCACTTTAAAGGAATGTTTTAAAGGGGCATTGGCTACAATTTAAACAAAAAAAATAAAATACATTTTTTTGTTTCAAACATTTATGAAAAGATGAATATTGAAATGATATTTTGCTATTAACAGTCAGTTTGGTTCAATTAGATCAAAATAAAATCAATCGCAAATGTATTATTGGCTTGCAAGTCAACAATTCAACCTATTTTGAATCTGTAATCATGTAACCCTAACTTGACCTCTAGCTGGAGATGGGTTACGCATGCCCTAAACGTGTTCAGTTATTAAGAAAAAAGAATATCAACATTGAAAAGTGTAACAACGGAGCCACCATAAGAAAAACCCATTTCGTTGACATATCTGGTCCACAAGAAATTATTCATATGCAGGTAAAACGATGATTTACATTTTTTAAATCTACGACATGAAATCTAACAGACATGGAAAATTACACAACTCCACGTGCTTGTCGGGTCTATCTATATTTATATTCATATTTGTGTCTGTTATGACTATCGGCAGTCTTCAGAGGAAATCTTGATGGTTAATTAGATGGCGTCTATCTTAAAATACGCACGAAATGCTGATACATTATAACGAGTCTATGCATTGTAAATTGTTTCTTTTGGACTTTTTGTAATTTGGATAATGTTTAAAAGTCAAATCGGTGATCATGAATTTGACAACTAATGTCCCTTTACGGTGTCCAACAATATTTTTCATCTTTAAATCAAGAAAAAGGACAAGGGTGGTAGGAATACCAAGATCGATTAGGAACAGTCTTTCTACCTCAATACTTTACACGCGATCCAAATGTATAAACAAATACAGAAACTTTTTCAGGCAGACAATTTCTCCTTTAATGGCTCCGTAAACTGGTAAAAAGTAAAAAGCGAAAAAGGCATTCCATGCTAAAACACATAATTATGTTACTTTTTTTATCTAATCTCCTACGACACACCAACTTTACTGTGCATTTTTATTCACGTTATTCTCTGAACTCTTTATTTAATTCAATTCTAGGCAATACATGTGTATATTATTATAGAAATATATTTAGAAATAAAGGTTACATAAAAGAGCAAAATCCGTTTTCTGCTATTGACTTTGACATTCAATAGCATTGCTAATTAAAGTCCTATGGTCATGATTTATGGACTACAATAACTATCCAAACTTGGTCAAAATGTTTACAAAATGTGTTTACACTTTTGAATATATATTGAAGCAGTATTATACCACCTGGATGTATTTAATCAAATTAATTACATTCAAATCTGGAAAAGAGATATTGTTTGAATTGTTTTGACACTGCTGAAGATGAAAATTATGTTATTTTACTTGTCCTTAACAGGATTATGTTGTTGAAACCTTATGTACACTGTTGATATAAAAATATGAAGATGTAATATGACTGCCAATGAGACAACTCTCCACCAGAGACTAAATGACATAGAAGTTAACAATTATAGGTCACCGTACGGCCTTCAACAATGATAAAAACCCATACCGAATAATCAACTATAAAAGGCCCCGAAATGACAAATCTAAAAAATTCAAACGAGAATGTCTAAGATGCCTTTTAGTGAAAGAATTGCCTTTGCAAAATGTATATGTGGAGGGGCTCCGATTAAGCTAGAAACTGGTAGGTATGAACATTTGCGACTGGAAAAGATGTGTTGTTTGAATGGTTTAATACTTTTGAAGATGAAAATCTTTTTATTTTACATTGTCCTGTTTTTAGTCTTTTTACTGAACCTCTTAAAAATGATGAAAATTTTAATAATTTTACAGTCTGTCAGAAAATGATATTTTTATTTGCGAATCAAGCTATTACTAGATTATGTGGCAAAACCTGTAATTTCATTCTGAAAAGACGCAGAAAAGTTTTATATTTTAAAAAATATCTCAATTATGCTGTTTGTTTATATCATTCATGTTGAACTTTTAATGTATATACATATTGTTTTAGTTGGAAACGTCTCTTATAAATCTGTACAGATTGGCTTTTGTAAAAAAAAAACCAAATGTATCTATTATGATTGTTTTGTATAATTGTTTGCAAAAGGTGAGATTTGATTGAATTGAAAATTTAATTAGTAAAAATCGTTATCAGGCAGAAAGTATAAGAATCATCCAAACATTTCTTTCCGGTATAATAGATTTATAGATTAATTTATAAACATACGGTTATTTTTCAACAATGACGACAATGTTCACTATTGGGAACAAATTTGAAAAATTCTATTTTCATTATATGTAATGGCTTGACCATTAAGTATAACCGACGATTGGGCTCAAGCAGAAAAGACTATCAGGTGCTGATACTTTAAGGTTCATCATAACGAATGAACAAAAATGGCTGTGTTTTCACCTAAAATTTTACTCTGAGTACAGACAAACCTGTGTAGTTGGAAAACTTTTAAGGCCTACATTAGCTTCCACTAGATATATAAAAGTTAAAGTTTCAGTATGTGGTAATTGAATATAACACACCAATTCAACTTTACAATTTACAAAATCTTCTAAAAATAAGAATTTGTATGATTGTCAATGAGACAACCTTCCACCAGAGACCAAATTTGTTGATGTTTGCAACTATAGTTCATGGTATGGCCTTCAACACAGAGCAATATCCATATATATAATTCAAAAGATTTGATTTAATCTCATTAAATTATACAGCAAAGCATTGACCAAATGGAATGTATTGAAATGTTCCTTTTATTTAGTTAGTATAAAAGCATTTGATGTAATCATTTGAATAGTATACATTGGTGTGGTTTTTGAAGACAGTCCTATATTAATTTTCAGCTTGTTGTAAGCACAAATATGTATGATTGTATATAAAACCTTTAAACATGCATATATGCTTTGCATACGTTTATTCTGAAACAACATACAATTATTACAATGCATCAATTATAACTTGCATCAAACATGGATGTATGCCTGTTCAAAGCTGTTGCACTTTTTCATGTTCAGCAGGATCATATTTATTTGATCAGACTACATGAAGTTGAAGGTTTTGCTACAAGTTACCCATTTTATACTTGGACATGTTGTGAAATGGTTAAACAGGGTGTCGGGAACAAATTGAGAAGCAAAGTAAGGTAATATAAGAACTAGTATATGAGATATATAAAAATATTAAGCACCAAAACCATGTAAATTTCTGATCGCTCGCATGCTTAAAATTCTTTTCATAGATTTAAAAAAAAAATATTTCAAAGATAATATTGCTCCCTAGTAAAAAATTCTTTCGCCTGCCACAAATCAAACTTTGAAAAAAAAACAAATAAAAAACTTTGCTCGTTCGCTACCCTTCATTAAAGGAAAGAGTCCGAAGAACTAGAAATTAATTTGGTGTGGCCTAAAGACGATGTTTTTTTCAAAAGTTTCCTTTATTCAAAAATAAAAAGGTACATTGAAAACTTCATAAACACATATTTTACATAAAGATGTATTTCACACATTGTTGTAGGCTATATTTTAAAGGGAGCTCTATTACTTGCTAGAAAAGTATTTTTTAATGGACTAGATAAGACTTTTAATTTGATAGTTATATAACAATTGAAAAAGACTAACTAACCCTTTCATGCGACTTTATATTTGTTTCAAATTCTTCATCGTGAATTCGCCATACCAAAACATGATGGTATTTTAGACAAAGGAATACAGTTTGCTTTTTAAAATGTTTACTACAGTACCTACGGGAATCAAATACAGAAAACATGGAACATACATTCTTGTATTTGTGTTGTATTCTACCATTTATCTCAGATGAATAATTGTCTCAATGGCAATCATACTGTATCTCCTTAATGTGTGGACTCTTAGGTCCAGGCAATAATATTGGGAAACTATAAAATATTTTATGGGCGATGTGTTCTTCGGAAATTCAACATTCGGAACTCATATCTTCACAAGACGTATATGAACACTTCTTTTCTTTGACATGGTTTACCTTTCGGTTATTTATTATCAAACCTTTTATAGCGTGAACCCCTCAGAGTTCACTAATGTAAGTTGGGAGCTTGTGTAGTATTAAGGAATGACGGCTGATTTTTTCAAAATACAGCTGTATTATTCATAGCCGATGGAGACATTCGGTAAAAGGCTTCTTTTAGAGTTTCTTTACGCTGAAGTTGATCAGATGAAAATGCAATAAGCGATCTGAATATTGTTTTAGAGATACTTATTACTTGAGACTTCTTAAATATCCCATACAGTTGTTCCTCCTTAATTTAGAGACTGATATGTTTTCGTAAAGAAAAGCTGTGTTCATATACGAGGTTATCGCCCTGTTAATCGTATTTCGGATATTAAAAAGCAAAACAAGTGAGAGTGTTCAACTGTTATACACGTGGGATATTTAGCGATTAAACTACGTTTAACCCTCAATTCTCTTAGGAAAATGCCTTTACCGAGTAGGGAGCAGCAGTAACATACAACCTGGTCTTTCGTTTGGTGTCTAGATATCTCAATTAATACGTTACTCTAGTGTATATTTCACTTTATGGACTTCATAACAGGGGTGTGCTCTTAACACACAAGAAAACTGTTATTGCGCAATACTGTGCTGTTGTGCAATTCTGTGTTGTTGCGCAATACTGTGCCATTGCGCAATAGTGTGCAATTGAAGATTTCTTGCTATTGCGCAATACTGTGCTATTGCACCATACTATGCTATTTCGCTATACTGTGCAATTGAAGATTTTTTGCTATTGCGCAATACTGTGCTATTGCGGAATACTGTGCTATTTTGCAATTCTGTGCTGTTGCGCAATACTGTGCAATTGAAGATTTCTTGATATTGCGCAATACTGTGCTATTGCGGAATACTGTGCAGTTGCGCAATACTGTGCTATTGCGCAATACTGTGCAATTGAAAATTTTTTCTTGAAACTTTTCAAAAAATTGAAGAAAAAATTTATGAACCCCCCAAAAAAATTGGAAAAAAAATTAACCTAAACTCAATCCCAGCCTTCCCTTTGTGGTATGGAACCTTGTAGTACAATTTTAGAGAGATCCATACACTTAAACACAAGTTATTGTCTGGAAACTAAAAAAATGCTGTTTTTGGCCCCTTTTTTGCCCCTTGTTACTGAACGTTTGGAGCAATTATCCCCAAACTCAATCCAAGCATTCTTTTTGTGATATGGAACCTTGTGGTACAATTTCAGAGAGATCCATATACTTACACACAAATCATTGTCTGGAAACTACAAAAATGCTTGTTTTTGGCCCCTTATTTTTCCTAAACTGTTGGTACCATAACCCCCAAAATCAATCCCAACCTTCCTTTTGTGGTATTGAACCTTCTGTTAAAATTTCATAGAGATTCACTTACTCTAAATTTGTTTTCACAAAAATAATTGATGAGAAAAAAAATGACATACCAACATAATAGCTTTCATTTCTTTTTGAAACCGTAGTTTCATAAATATGTTTTAACTAGATATTATTAATGAAACCAGACTATAATGAATGTCTTCACCATAAATCCCATATTTACTTGGCCTTTTGGACTTTTTTTATTCGAGCGACAGTGATGAGTCTTTTGTAGACGAAGCGCGCATCTGGCGCACACAATTTTAATCATGGTATCTATGGTGAGTTTACATCCTCTGATATTCCATACAAGGTTCAATTTGACATTTCAATAGTTATTTCAGGGATAATAAAATCATCATGCAAATATCCTTTAAAATTGATGAAGGATTAACTATTTATTCAATCAATCGTTCTTTTCGCCCCAAGACAAAGTATGTAGTGTCAAGTTACGGCAAATAATTCTCTATGAAATATGCTATTATATGATATTATAGAGCACTGTGCGGGACAAATTTGCCATTCTAGAATTGGCAAATCTGACTTTGTTGTTTTACAAGATAAAATAAAAATGTTTTGGCCAAGTCATAGATAATTAAAAAACATTAATTTCCTCATATGTCCCAACGTGTCACTGTTGTCATTGTTGTCACTACAGCTGATTAAAAGTATATTTCCCATTGAAAATATAAGAATTCCCATGGGAATATTAGAAGTTTCCATGGGAAATTTTGAAGTTCCCATGAGAAAAGTACTTTTCCCATGTGTATTTAAAAGTTTCCATAAGAACTTTACAGTCCCTATGGGAAAACAAGAATATAAAAAGTTCCCATGGGAATTTAACTTTTTCTATGGGAACAATGTTTCTTCCCATGGAAACATATAGTTCACAATGGGAACATTTTTTTTCCATTTGAAAGGTTGTTCTCCTAGAAAAATTGAAATGTGTTGAAAATACAGGATTTGTGTTCAATTATTGCAGTTAGCAAGTTTTCAACAAATATCAATATGGTTTCGTGTAGATTGTTGTAATCAATATGTAACTTCCATAAAACTCTGATT